GGCGGCCGCCGGCGCCTCCCGACGGCGGGAAACGTTCGTCGCCACAGCCAGGCCCGAACGGCCCTGCGGGGAAGCACCGCTTGGTTACACCCTTGCGGGAATGGGTGACCTGAACGAGCAGGCACACCCACAGCAAGGTGAGTAACGGTTTGTGTTCCCTGTTTCCCCACTGGGCACTGGGCGGTCCCGGTCCATCCCACGCTGCTCATTATCCCGTAAGTTTCCCGCCCCTGTTTACACGTTCCAATCTAGCAGGTTACTTTTTACCTTTTACGGTATAATTCCGACCTTTCTTGCCCCCTCGGCTGCCTTCCCAGTCACCAAAACGCTCTGCAGCTACTCGTGTCGTCCTGCCCCGAGGAGCAGGACAGAGGGGGCTTTGCTGGGCCTCATCCTGGCCGTGAATCCTGCCCCACGTTCGGGTCCCCCAGACGGAGCCCAATTCACTCCCTCCGTTTCCTGGAGCGTGAACCACCCCAGGTGTCACTGGAATGTGCAGATCTCTCACTTCTCTCAAACAAACTACTACATTCCTAACACCAGGGTATATATATATATAATACATATATACACACCAACCCAACAATATGCTTCTAAGACTAGGATGCAAAAACAACACTACATTCCATTTCTAACACTGACACAGCCCCAGCACCTGAACTGGAGCAACCAGGAAGGGCACCTGAACGCCCCTGATGTGGAAGGGGGGTGGTTTAAGTCACTCGGGTTTCATTTGCTGCTACGTGGCTCAAGTCATCTTTGTACAGACAACAAGTAAAACTGCAGAACGATGGAGGTAATGGATGGAAAGGCTTTTCTCCTGCCGTGGTTTCCCTCTGGAGTGTGTTTTTGTGGTGTTTTTTTTCCTGCAGGAATGGAGCAGCACTGCAGCAAAAGATGGTGTGAGATTTGCATGCCCTTCGTATTGTGTGTCAGGGAGTTTCAGTATTTCTACCAGGAAAAAGACAGAATCCAGGCACACACAGGCAGACAAAACAGGAAATTATTGGCATGTATTTTGTCCTCAAACAACAATAATTGGGACTTCTGAGGCTAGGCCTGTGTTTGGTTGATTTTTTGGGGTATGAATTATAACAATGTGTGTTTTCACCTGTTGCTGCTCCACATAAGGAAACATTTAAGAATACAGCCAACTGCTGAAAAGGGGGGATTTCTGACAGGTAGCATGCAGTCACTTGCCTGGAATTCAGCACGGGTATAGGGATTAAAAATGGTATTTCATGGAAGCTGCCCTGGGATCTCTAATGATCCCAAGAGGTCAGGCTTTCCGTTTTACATCTTAGTGAAAAGGTAATAACAGTGCGATGCCAGCTCCCGTTGTACCATTACATGGATTCAGTTCTTTCTAGGAAGAAGAATCGCCAGATACCCACCACCTCTTATAGCCTGGGAGGTGTTTTCTGGTGGCTGGGGACCCCCCTGAAATCCCACAGGCCCACACGTGGGCTTAGGGCCCACAAGGTGAGAACTTGAGAAAGCCTTTTCATGCACCGCATTATCTGTGACATCCAATTCCCGCGGCGGCAACAAACCCTGAGGCGCTACAAAACACCACGGGCCGGGCGGGTCCTGGGGAGAACGGGCGGAGCCCTGCCACTCGTCCCGCTCCCGATGTTCCTTGGCGATCCCTGTGCTGAGTGGGGGTCGGAGGGCAGCCGGCTGGGATAATTCGGCGTCGGGAGCAGGAGCTGAAGCAGGGGAAGAAGGCTCGAAGTCCCCGCGCCGGGCAGCAGCGCACCTGTCCTCCCCAGGGACGTGGCACCGTGTTGTATCAGCTGAAGAATAACCCCTCTAATCCTATAATTGAAGGGACAAGCTTGTGATCACAGCCTGCTTGCTTTCCAGGTTAAGTGTAACCTTCGGAGGACCTGTAATACCCCTTCACCAGGAAAGCCTGGGCTTTGTGTACGTGAAATATTTGGGTATTTTAAGGCATGCAGAAAACTCACTGGAGTGCCCCAGGCACACTGCTGCTCAGGGACTGCTTGCTTTGCTTCTTTCAGAGGCCAAATCATGAAGTGTTTCAAAGGCAATGTTATATTTACACAACATTGATAAAAGACAAGAAGTAGAGACAAAAATCAATTATCTAACCTGTTTTAGTAACTGAGATGGCTCCAGCACCATAGGCTCTCTCACGCCCAAGAAGCATCTCTTAAGTCACACCAGCCAACTGTGTCTCAGTTTCTTTTACAGAATTACTCTTTTGAAGAGTCTTGGATAATGTCACCTGGAAAGGTTGCAGCCTCTTCCAGATATACTCAATTACATCTTTTCTGGTTGTTAGGTGCAGTACAATGATTTCATGCAGTCATCAGTGGAAGTCTCACTATTTCAGCAATGTCTAACTTTGTTCTGTAGTGGCAGAGTTGTAGTTAAAGTGATAGCTTCCAGAAATCAGGAGTCAAGAGCTGATGGTTCCTATTAGCAGTGGCAAAGATGTCTTTTTGAATGTTTTTCCTGACAGTGGAAGACGGAAGACATCCATTCTGGGCCTTCTTGCAATATTGGGTTCAGTAGGCCATAAAGAGAGTAGGCAGAGATGGGCCAAAATGTTTTACATACTACTTGGGGAGATGTAACCAAGCTTGGAGATCACATCTCCACTACAATAGCCCTCCAAGTCTGTGGAGATCAGCTCTCTCCATCATTTTCATCAAATTTCTACAAGCAGCTACAGAGGGGTCTGATCTGGGCTCCAGCACCAAACAGAAGCAACACAGTTCTATGTAGCTTCTACTGTGTGTCAGGTCACCGTCCCCACCCATGAGGGCAGCCTTTGGATGAGGAACAGCCTTTTGAAGCTGTACACAAATAAGATAGTGGTTATACTGATAGGCAAAGAAAATGTGGAGCATTTTAAGCTCAAGGACAGTATGGACAAAAATAAACAAATGGTTATAAACTATCTGACACAAGTGTGGTCTGGGAATGAAAAGCAAGGAGTGAAACTGTATTTAA